AAAAAAAAAGAAAGGAATTTAGAAATTTGGCTTGACTAGAAAACTCACCTGACTTTCTCTTTCTTTTTTAGCCATGAGTTCAAGTTCCTCTTTGGCATTACTCAGTTCTTTTTCCAGACCTGCGACTGTGTCCAAGTCTCCTAAAATGAATACATAGTGCTAGTTTTAGTCAGTATTAACATAACATAATCTCTGCTGCCTCATTTCTGTAGAATTTACTCTGAGGACACATTCCAACAATAAAATAATATACAGAAGCACAGGTTGTTCTTTGCAGCATTATTTGTAATAGCCAAATACTACAATCAGCCTACATGCTATAAAAGAAAGAGTGAATAAACTATAGTACATTCACGCAAGTGAGTACCATGTACAGCTGTTAAAAAAAAAAAAAGATCTTTATAAACTTATATGGAGTGATTTTGAAAATGTTAAGTAAAACATGCTAGATGAAAAAGAATACATCTAATTTAATATTTTTTTTTTAATTAGGAAAAGGGAGAAATAAAAACACACATACACATCACATATACACATACGATTCATTGACTTATTTTTGCAAAAAGATACACAGGAAGGATAACCCAGAAATGAAATTGGTTACCTTCAGGAGATGAGTGGAAACAGGAGAGAAGGGAAATAGGAAAATAGATGGGACTTCCGAAAATACCTTTCTGTATATTTGAGTTTTGAGCTGTGTTAACGTTTAATTTTTAATGTGTAAGTTAGTTTGACAATAATGGGGCAGAAAAGGCCTAAAAGTGAATACTTACATAAATAAATGAACCTATATAGCAAACAGATAATATAACCACCCAGAAGGTAATAAAAAAATTAATCAAGGCTGGCCGGTTAGCTCAGTTGGTTAGTGTGGTGTTCTCAACACTAAAGTCAAGGGTTTGGACTCATACTGGCCAGCCGCAAAAAAAAAAAAAAATTAAAATTAATCCAAATAAGTTTTTAACTCAGTACTTTAACTGCATAACCTCTGTGGGAAATATCCTAAGGATAAAAAGAACTACAAAAAAAATCTTAAACATTACTTAATAAATTAATTGTTGACAGTGGTATTCATGTAGTAATTCTGAAGCTAGTTTCACGTATTATAGTATTGTGCAAACGTGTAAATATTTTGAAATATGCTGAAGTTACAGGTAACAGGTCTCTCAGTGTTGGGATAAGGGAAATACAAATACAAATGAGAGAAAGAAAGAACCTGTGTTGTTAAATTGGAATTAGAGGAATAAGTATCAAATCTTCATTCATACACACACATACTTTTTTTTTTTTAATTCAATGTTAGCTCTGTTCATTTAAAAGGGCTGTTATGGGTTGAACATTTGTCCCCTCCAAAGCTCATGTTGGAAGCTTCATTCCCAATATGGCAGTGTTGAAAGCTGAGACCTTTAAGAGGTGATTAGATCATGAGGACTATGTGTTATGAATGAATTAATCCATTCATGGAGTAACGGGTTAATGGTTTAATGAGTTATCATGAGTGTGGACTAGTGGCTTTAAAGGAGAGCAGTGAGCACGTAAAAACACTCTTCTCCCTCCTCACCATGTGACACTCTGGGTCACCCTGTGACACCCTGGGACTCTAGAAACTCCCTACCAAGAAGAAGGCCCTCATCAGATGTGTCCCCTGAACTATGGACTTCTCAGCAATCAAAACTACAAGAAATAAATCTTATTTCTTTATAAACTATCCACCTTCAGGAATTCTATTATTGGTGACAATAAACAGACTAACACAAGGACCTAGAAGCAAATAATGTCCACATGACAATGAACACAGCTTGTACCCAGATCTTAGTTGCTAAATGCTATCACCCACTAAAATGAACCAGGTAGCTCCCTGGGGGTAAGGCTTCAGGGCTGAGGCAGGTAAAATAAAAGGGGATCACAACACTTTACTGTGAAAGAAACTATGGAAGTGCTCAAAAACTGATGGAGAAATAGAAAAAGGACAAAGGAACAGCTTGTGGGGGCTCTCACTGGCCAAATCTGGGATGATTTGGGCATCAGATGAAATAATGACAGAAATGGGTAATACAATGATTTTTTTAAAAAATCCATACTGATACAAACAAATCGAATGGGGAGATAGGCGGAAGACAGCTCTTCTTTATAAAAGAATACCTGTTAATAAATAAAGAAGAAATATCAGAAACAGAAAACCACTTTTTCAAACTACCAATGCAACAGTTGGTTCAGGTAAAGCTCAAAGGATGCTAAAACCACTGAATTAATGACTGTTAGGAAACAGAACTGTCAATTTCTCAAGACCAGCCAGCAGATCATTTACTGATTGCAAAGGGAAAAATGAACCTTTATAATGGAGAGACCTGGCAAATACAAACCTAACCAAATGACTATACTCAACATCACCAAGGATGACACAAACTGATTATCATGCACTGATGTGATGCACTGAGAAAGATGTCACCCATATAGTATCTTTGCCAACAATGTTCAACTTGAATCTAACCATGAGGAAACAATCAGAGCTAAACAGAGAAACATTAGCTGGCCTAGATTCTTCAAAAATGCCAATGTCACTAAAGAAAAAAAAAAAGCTAGAAAACTGTTCTAGATTAAAGGAGACTAAAGAGACATGACAACTAAGCACAGTGCATGACCCCCGATGAGGGAAAAAAAAGTATAGAGAACACTACTGTGACAAAAAAGAGCTCTGACTATAGACTGTGTACTAGGTTAAACTTCCTGAGTGTGATCATTATATTGTAGATATGTAGAAGAATGCTCTTGTTCTTAGGAAATACTCACTGAAGTAGTTAGGGATTAAGTGTCATAATGTCTATAAGAAATTCTCCAATGGTTAAGAAAAACATATCTATATATGTGTGTGTACATAGAAAGAAATAAGGCAAATGTGGCAAAATGTTAACTGGTGAATCTTAATAAAAATATATATGGGTTTTCACTATATTATTTTTGCTACTTGTCTGTAGGTTTGAAATTTCCAAAATAAAAAAGTGGGGAAAAGTATATTTTTAAAAAGGCAAATAGGGAGTAAAATAAACACAGCACTCTTTACTCTTCAACTCGTAGAAAGTTTTCCTACTAGAGAATGACTACTTGCAAGACTTTTGTATGTAATTCTCTAATCCCCTACACTATAACATTGACACAAAGTCCCTACTTCTGGAACTACCTGGGTAATATCTTCCTTGAAGCTACCCTAAATAGCAACCTTTTGCTCTGTAAAAGTCAGGCTCCAATCTAATGTATTCATTTGAGTTTTGCTTGCATCATGTACAGAATTCTGTTGTCTTTAGGCAGTTCAAGGCCTATAACCATCCCATAGATGGGGCTGAGCTAGCCCTCCCAACATTTTAATATAGGTGATGTCAAGTTATAGTGAGAAGCCACAGCCTTGAAAGATACCCAAGAGAAGGTGTCAGTTCCATGGTCCAGCTGTGTAGATTTGGAAGTACTGTTTCCTAAATTTCTGAATCCCTTCAAAGCTACTTGAAAAGGAGAATTAGAATGCGTTTCTCTGGGCCAAACTGTGAATCCAGAGCTATAACCTCAATTCAACAAAACGTAAGGGCAGTTCTTCCTGAAATAGACATGTCTTCAGCTTTTCAGGGGAATCCAAACTTTTTTTTTCCATTAAGATAGGAAAAGAAAGAGAGTCTTGGCCAAACCTATTAATACAAAGAAACAGGAAGGAAAAACAGAAGGTCCCTTCATGAAATGAAATTTGATGCTTACCCAATGTGGACCTGGGTATGCTGGCATCCTCTTTGGCAGTCAATGAAGTGCTACCATCTCTGGAGGGTATTTGTATTGAACTCTAAAAATTGAAACAGTTGGAGGATTTAGAAAGATGCAAGAACTATAATCAATGACAGGACAGGGAATATTCTCACACAATTTGGTATTAAAATTATCAAACTTACACGTCAAAAGTAAAAAGGAAATGCTGTCAGAATGAATATCTACACAAGTCTATAGTTCTTACTTGATCAGTCTGCTCTCCAAGAGGGGGGCTGTTGGAGGTAACTTCAGCTTGTTGGTTAGAGATGTGTGCTTGGGACATCATGAAGTCTTTCCCTCCTAAATATTGGCGCAGGGCCTGTAACTCTGAATTTCTTTCCATTAGGGAGTGTACCATCTTCTCTGCAGCAGCCTAGAAAGAGGAAATCACAAATAATATTAGAAAGATATTCTAGTAATTGTACTCTGGTTTAATGTCTTCAAAGCCAACCATTTATAAAAAGCCAAAGGGGCCCTAAGAAATAGTTTCCTAGCTTTCAGTTTACAGAGAAAAACATAGTCAAGTGAGTGAAAAGAAAGTCTCTCATAGGCAGAATATTGGAAAAAAAAAAAACAACTGAATATAACACCATCTATCACAGATGAGAATCTATTTTTTTTTTTTTTTGTCTTTTTTTT